GCGGGAAATTTGAATTTCTTTAATTAGCTGTAACTTGGCGCCTATTTGTCCGATTGAGATGAAATTTTCATCAAAAATGATCGAATTCTATAGGCAAAATTATGAGTATCTTTGTACTCCTTTTGGCTTGAATTATAATTCTGAGGCCATATTTGGACTTACTTTATGACGTCACAATTGCATTCCCATATACCAAATTTTATACCCTTGAATAGGTAATTCCTCAATACACCTCCCTGCCAAGTTTCATCACCTGCGCGTTATTCCTCTATTTTATAATTGCCTAAAACTCCTACTATTGAGGGGTCCGGGAGGAAACTCCATAGCAACCAACCATCGTGCTAGCTGTTGCGTCTTTTGCTCACTCAGAATTTCTCTTTCTGCCACAAGAGCTGTTTCCATTATGATTGCTTGTTGCCGCGTCTTTCCCAGTATTTGCCTCATTTCAATTCTCCCACTTTCATCAAGCAACTTCCTGGGCAAACAACGTTTCAGTAAATCCTTGTAGCCCTGTCGATAGTTTACATCAAAGTAAGCTAATAAGCACGGGTTGACAGCGCAGTTCAAATGCGCAAGAAAGAATCGAATGAAAGACAGCTCACAAGGAAAAATATGAGATCCATATAACGGAATAGCAAGGAAATATAAAGACCAGAAAACACAGTATGCACTTGTGATACAAATCAGCATCTTCAGGAGTTTGCGTCCGGCTTTCTGCTGCCTTGCGCTGGTCGTATCGGTGGAAATCCCTGGATTCTTTTTCAACAAAAGGTGAAAGATTATGATAGTATATAGCAAGATTGTCAATGCCAAACAGAACCAGTAGACTACAGCCAGAGCAGTTCTATAAAGTGAGAGATATTCACCAAGCAATTGGTCTAGCAGTGGAGAACAAACTAGTTTGTATAAGTTCGAAGGGGTGAGTTGCGGGATCATGAGAAACGGAGAACGTAAAGCTCCAGCTACAATCCACGTGGCGCACAAAAGTCCTACGACTAAACGTTTAGTCAGTATTCTCTTCAGAGGAAATAACACGGCACAAAAGCGATCCAACGTGATAAGAAAAATAGAAAATACTGCTACTAAGATAGCTGTGTGGTGAAGAAACACAACACCTCGACAACTAGCGAGTCCCACGTCGCCAGCGAGCACCCATCTTTTGCCATGAAACATTCGCACAATCATTCTAGGCATATAAACCACTGTGATAACTAAATCAGCCATGGCCAAGTTAGCAAGAAAAATATGCGCAAACGTCCTTCGCACTGTGCTGTTTTGAACTTTCTTGACAATAATAACGGTCATGGTATTCCCTAACAGGGACACGAGAAGGACTAAAAGGTATGCCRTCACACGAAGCATCCTTTTCCAYGTAGCATCGTTGACTAAACATAGTTTAGTGTTCAATGTCAGACTTCCGTTGGTGTAATTGAAATCCATCGTGAACAAAAGATCAACTTGTTCCCGGAACAAGTGGGTTGTTTTCACTGATATAAATACCTAACGTTTGTGACGCTTTAACAATTAGTTTCTAATGTTCTCTTAACAGATGCAAGTACCTTATAAATCCTTAATATAATTATTCATCGGTTTTTCATTAGATAAAAAAATTCTAGTTTGGTGCCATGAAATTGGACATAAAAACGTAGGCAGATGGTCAAGGTTGTCGCGCGAAATTGTTAAAATTTAATAAAAAATATGCTCTATTTACATTGGCTTGATCTCCCGCAAAGGACCAACTTTGTAGGGAATCTATTAAAAGACTCCCTGTTATATTAAGAAAGCAAGTTTTGTTAGTGAAATCTAGCTAATCCTGTMTTATATTCGCCTGAAAGTCTGACAATCAACATGCCGTCCCAATTTCAAGTCACAAGTAGAATAGACAATGTCGACCCCCCCATCCCCATTCCTCCCCATCTGGATTCTAAGCCCCCATGTTTTGCGCAGTCCCTAAGAAATCTGGATTCCACGCAAATGGTTCTTGAACGCAGCAAAATTTTCCCTTGTCAAGAGGGGTGTGGCTAGTCAACCTGGATTCCTTGAAGGCAAGTCACACTAGGGCTGGATGGTTCCACGCAAGCTTTGGAATGCAATTTCAAATTTCATTCAATTTTTCATGGGAAAAAAGAACTTTTGTTTCTAAGAATTCAACTGTGAAATGAAAATACAACGAACACTATGAAACTTACTCCCGGGTGGGTGGTAAACTTTTATAACAACGCGTTAACCAATTAGGTCTATTAGATGAAAGCATGAGGGCACATCCCGTTAAAGTGGGGCCCATTCCCGAGTGAATCAGTACCTTGACTTGAATTTCTCTTTTCGGAACGTTGCTGTTTCCTGAGCTAAAATTACTCCGGCTTCCTGAAAAGAAAAAGATGCGGATAAAGATTAAAAGTCATTCAAGTAACAAATACCATGAGTTGTAATAGTTTTTATATAGAGAAATAAAACAAAAAGAAATATTTCGCAACATCAACTATTGATTACATGGGATCCCTGTGTAATTTATAATGTATTCATGCAAGTCACATTAAGTTAATAAATTATTTATTAATTATGCAGTTTCGAAGGGATAGCGTCCATGGACTCAATACGTGAGGAACTGAACTATTTTCCCAGCAAAGCCGACTCATTTCATCGCAGATTTCGTTCTCCCCAAGAGTTACGCGAAGAACGGGAGGAGGTGGACGAGATTCGGCAAAATGTTCGTCATGCTATGAAAGAAGCGAGACGCAAAATGTCGAACTTACGCCATGACGCCGAGGCAAAGTGAGTAAACGATTCAATATTTGGTTTATTTTCTATCTTTCRTCTAAATAGATACAGTTATTGTTACAATTTTAGCTAGCTATTCAAAGTATATCATTCGCTAATATCTTGACACGTTCGATGTTTTTGGATGTTTACATTTTCGTAACACTTTAGACACACTCGAGACGAATGTTTTTCATCGTTGGTATTTAAGTTTATTTGCACGTTGGACGGACCACAACTGTCATGCAGGTCTACTTCGTCGTGTGTTTTGTTTGGCTATTTAAAGCGGCTATTCTCAATAACCTGAATTCGGCRAGTTGTTGTATTTCGACCTATGTGCATGGGGTTGTCAATTTTTACAGTAATTTTGATTTGATTTGTATTTTGTTTTTGTGTTTGTATTATCAAAACATTTTTTGTAAAATCGATACTTTAGATTGAATTTCTTGATGTACCTTTCGACACTATACTTCTCAGATAAAGTTCACTACTACTTTTAGTTCATATGTACACGCAATGGGTCCAAGTAATGTTACAAATTGTTGCTATAGTTTTCAAACTGCCTTCAAAAAATTTAACCAGAAAAAAATTAATATAAATATAATTTTGTTACTTTATAGRGATAGGCTGCTATCAGAAGAGCAAAGACTCCGCCAGCAGCTTGAACGAGATCTTTCTGAAAAATCAGAGGAATTATTACGAGAAAAATCCAAGAAYTTGAGGAGTTCTGGTGGAGGAAGACCTCTTGAGGGGAGATACTCTCCTCTTGATTATTCAAGRGATTATGRTGGAAGTGGCTATCTTCAAGATGAATTAGATGCATCGAAAACTCTCAATTATCAGGTRAAGAATTAGAATTGCATGTGTGTCTCATGATGCAGCTATTCGAAGAGGATGTTCGTGGTTTCCTACATGTAATAATACCTTTGCATTAAAGCGAGACARCCATTGAGGAAAACTTTCTTTCGCACCTATAAACAAATATTTACCAGTAACTATCATTACAAATTCAGCGGTCTTCTTGCTTCAATGCAACACCATAACTATACCTTTCTATTCTGCTAATTGTCACTAGTAAAATGTATTTTTTTTTTTTGTGATCAGAGATTAAGGCACTGCATGTTCACACTTAGTATCTGAGCATGATGCATCTTAACTAGTGCCTGGGCAAACATCTGGATACTGCAGTGGTACACAAGTTTTAGAAAAAGTTAAAGAGCAGAACTTTATGACTTTGAGAAAATCTACCCTTAGCTAGTAGTGTTAGGTCCAGACATACTGTAGTATCTGGATACTGGGCCTGGTGTGAATGCATGTTAACATGATACCTTTTYGTGCCAGTGCCATAATCATGGTTGTCTGGACATTACGTTTTAAAAATGTTGATATAGCTTTAATGCAAGTTTGTCATAACCAAAATATTATTCATTTGGGGTGCCCATGCAATATCGCATTTTCTTGTCAAGTTTAATTAATATTCAATCTAAGATTCTAAAKCTGAAATCTGAGAATCTTGTATCTGATAACAATGTATTTTTTAGCTCACAGAAAGACTTGCTGATGCTGATGCTGAGATTCAAGCAGCAAGGATGACTCGTGATGGTTTACTTAGCAAAGCTGAATCCAGAATTGCAGCTCAAGGAGCAGGTAGGAGTTTCTCCCTCCTTTATAATTAAAACTAACTTTACTATTAAATATAATATTATAATGATTAATGATATATGTTTTATATGTTAGTTATGTGATATATGTGACGTTTSACCTCAAAATAATCTTGTCACCTTATTATGGCCTGTAATACACATGTACAAAATAATGTCACAGTAAACAATTTAATACTTTAGCCCTCATCGATAAAATTTATCGAGCTCAAAAAGAAAGAGATGTAGCTGTTAGTGCAAGACTACAGTTGGCCAAAGATGAAAAAGAAGATCTCCTGGCAAGAATGAGGAGACTCGAGAAGGAACAAGCAGGGTGTGTATACTAACCTTTACATGCTTATCTATTTGCAATATGTGGATAACATGCAAATGAAACTCAGTGTTATGTGTGTACATGATAGCTGCAAAATTGCCATTTTGTTATTATAAATATATTGAAAGTCTCAAAAGGTCTAGATTCCTTCATATAAACTTTGTTAATAGGCAAAAATGTTTTCATTATATGGATATATTTGGAAATATAAATTATGTAAATATTCATTGTTATTACAGGTGGCARATAACACTCTTGGTAGACCAATAAAACCTGTTGAGCATCATTTGAAACCCAAAGTGCTTACATAGTACACAATATTTTAGCTTAAGTACACTAAATACATGTATAAGTAACATTACTCTTCTATTTTCCTAAACATGGGAAGGTATATACTAGCTATTAGCGACAACATTATTATTAATTACATTGATAAGTATATACAACATTGCTTATTATTATTTTGCTTTGTTTTAGATTTGACTCAGGTGTAGACTCAGTGTATGACGATGATATTGATGCTGATCAGGTTAGAAAAAAAATTTCAGTCTTTTATCAATCTGCAGTTCTTTATACTTCGTGTAAGCAACTTAATTATTTGCTTTTGCWCCTAAAATTTATGCCTTAAGTAAAATTACATCATTATGAAAATATTTATTAGGAAAAATGACCATTCTTGTTTTCCAAGTTTCTGATTATTTGAACATGTTTTTTTAGTCAATCCAAGCTCTATTGGACCGAATAACAGCATCTCAAAGTCCCAAATCAATAGACAAACAAGGAACAATTATTGCAGACAAAATCAAATCAGTACAGAAAACCAAACAKAGAGCWATGGGAGAAGAACTCAAGTCCGTCATAGAGGAAAGAGATGAAGCTGTTTCCAGGGTATGTCATGAACTTGTTTACTGAATTCTACTTTGTTATGTATGTTCCATGATTGTACAACTTAGTGTGCAACATATGGTACATGATGTGTATAACTAACAGCTCTTCCACAATAATTAATACTAGTATTTTCATAACCTGAGTATCAGGCCTTCGAGGGGGCCAAGAGCCTGATACTCAGGTTAGTATTTTCACTGAATACATGTTCCAAGGCCAAACAATTGCTTTGTGTCCTGAGGCAGGAAACTAAAGAATAATCTAATAAATTGTTGTGTAACACTTAAAAAATATTGTAATTTAGGTACAATTGCTTGAAGAAGAAGTAAATAAGCTAAAAAGAGAATTGGAAATGGTAAAAAGCCAATTTAAACTGGCTGAAAAGCATAGAGTTAAATCTACACAGGTATGTAACTGTAGTTGTATCATGTACAACTCGCCGTACTTTTTTCGCATTTTCATGCAGAAAACCTTAATTAAATGTGATGCCAATGACACATTTTTGTCCCAAATTATGTCTTGCATGTATTATAATATGACTGGTTTCTTGCTTGTTCATAGGCTCAACTCTTGTCATCACAACACGAAAGAGATGCCTCAGTAAGAAAAACTAAACGACTTGAGGAAGAACTTGAAACTATTCGCGTATATTACAGGTTTGATATAATTATGACTGCGTTCAACACATTTTGGCTTCAGTCGAGTGTTCTCACAATACGTTTTTTATATTATATATTTATATATAATTTGTTATTATAAAGCACTATCAATGAAAATATAAAAGTGTACCAACTGGTAATTGAACTACCTGACCCCAAATAGGTCCCTCAAACCAGGTGCTAATGTACCAATGCAGTAAAAAAAAACCCTRGCTAACACAGCTAACATTTTTTTTCCCTTTTCTTCAGCTTACATAGATCACTCACCCAAGAGCAAAATTTAAGAGATCAGTTTAACAGTACCATGGACAACTTTGAAGGACGTTTGCGGTCACGTGAGAGTGAGCTAGTGCTTGCACAGCGTTCCTACGAYGACCTTGTTGCTAAGTTACGGTCTGTATCAACAGAAAGAAACACACTGTCAGGCCAACTCCAAGAGTCAAACAAAAACTACCAGCAGGAAAAGCAGAGAGCTGATAAGTAAGCAATTACTAGATACATGTTATACATGTATGTAACAACATATTATTCTCTCTCTTCTGTGCTGTTTTGCATGTACATGTTTATGTACATAAGACTAATTTAAGATCACAAAAAATAAACACAAAAGTCACTGTGAAAACAAATTTTATATAAATCCTGTATGAAGTCAATCCTGTTGTTTTTAAGATATTCACATATCACAGGAGGATGAAAACTGAATTTTCAAAATCTTTGTAGAAGGTGTATTATGCAATATTCGTAAGCCCCTTTGACATTATCCAACCATAGATCTACAGGTAGTATATAAATTTAATATTTTACTTTTTTTTCAGGCTTGAGAGACTAGTTGGTGTCCTAAGGAAGCGTATTAATACAGGAGCAACAAGTGTTGAAACTATCAATTAACTTATTACCTCTTCACACATGTTCACGTACATGTATACCTTATTCTGAGAACATTTTGTATACTGGCTCTGTKGTTTCATGT